AAGCTGGCAAGCAGTAGATGTGCTGTAAAATTGTTGCGTCCAAGACTGGAGGACAACCATGCTAGGATGCAGGATTGCAGATGTTTTGAAAATATTCTCCTTAGACCAGTGCATGACACACAACCCCTAGCCGGGCGTTAAAACCGTTTGAAACTTTTTGCAATGTTTCTTCTAGAATGCTGCTTTTGATTGGAATAAAAGTATTTATAGATTAGTTGGTTCCAAGCTTGAGAAATCTTCTTTGTGTGAAATACCAAGTGTGTCCGGAAAATCCACAATCCTAGCTGGTTTGAACAGCCTGAAGTACTTCACAAGAAAAGTTTAAATGCAGTCAGAATTTTCCAGGCTCAAACTGTTCATTAATTAATGCAGACAATTTCAGACCCGAAGGAATAATAAAACCACAGCCAAAATTTAGTTGGCCGTGATTTGTTAAGTATGTAGGAGGCTTTTTTTTTTTTTTAAAAAAAAAAAAAGACTTGTAAGCCCCCTAGTGTTTGCAAATACCTTTCTTTTTAGAGCTATTTTGTCTAACTTTTTAGCGTTCACCGTCTTCTTAAGTTAGCTCTTAGTTGATGTGTGGTGCTGCCCAGCCCTCAGTGCAGTCTGCATACAGACCTAGCAACTAAAAACAATTTTGTTTCTTCAAAAGCAGAGAAGAAATAAGAATACTTTGAAAGCTCTGGAAGGTTTGCAAGGGCAGATGGATGCCCTGTGCAGGTAGTTGGGTTATATTAGACCAGATTTTCAGTATAATCCTTTCTAAAACTTTCAGTTTATGAATTTGGCAAATGAGCAATATGCTTCTGTGTAGAAAAAGAAGGATATATTTGTTCTGTCAGACTTTGCAGGTAGTGGCGTGTCTGTGCATGGTTGTATGCTTAGTAGGGAGAATTTTATCCATTTCAGGTATGGAGTAGTGGATGTTAGAGGGCCCTGGGAGAAAATATGAAGACTAATTCAATAGTTTTTGTATTGTTGCACTTAAATAAAATAAAATAGCTTGGCATTTGAAGCTCTGCAGTGTTTAAAATCAACATTTTGAAAGGAAAAAAAAACTAACACTTGTAATTTTTAATTTATATATACTGTTTTCAAGCTTCCTTTGAAACAGATGTTAAATGTTTTAATACTTTTTCACTAAACTTTTAATGGTTTTCCTAAACAAACAAAAGGCTTAAAGCCAAAATATATCTTTGTGAATCCAAGTTTTCAGTCATATAAGCAATGCTAAAACAAATGACTGACTGCTCCAAAGCCTATGCTTATTTTCTAGGTCTAAACTTACTTGCCATGCCAGAAGACATGAGTTTCCAATGGCCAACCTCCAGTTTCTCTTTTGCTTTGTGAGTTAGTAGGGGCCCCTTAGCATTTGGTGCTGGAAAACCAGTTTCGTGAGCTTTGCATCTCGATTCCTGTTCGGCTTCGTCCCGTTTATCAAATAATGTTGTTCTTCCCTCCTGCCTGCGGTGCTTCCTGGCACCGGCGGTTTTGGCCAGGCTACATAAAGTCTCATTCAGCAGCCCTGGCTCCTCAGGGCTTTTCCTTCCCTGGAGGAAGAGTGGAGCGTCTCTGAGCACGGAGGTGGATGGAGCTGCCCGAGCGTCTCGTACAGGTGCTGGCAACCCCCTTGCCCACCTTGTGGGTGAGCCGCCTTACTCCAAGGATGTTTTCCATCTTGTTGCGCTAAGAAAGCAGTGTAATGCTCATAAATAGAATGGTAATCTTCCTCTGTTGGGTTAAAACTGAAAAAAAAAAAAAAAACCAAAAGTTTTCGTATGGAACCTTATTGCAATAACAAATATGCGCTGAGAGCGCAGCCCCTCTTTACCTTCCTCCCCTCCGAGTGAGCGAAGTCCACGTCCAGTCTGACTTCAGTGTCTCGTCGCTCACAGTTTGGCTCAGCTTTATTTTTCAAGTGCCAAGCTATTATTTTCCTTTGGGAAGAACTCAAGAAAGCTGGATGAATGATCCACTCCTTCCTGATTGGGTGTTTTATGCTCTTCAAAATACAGCTGCCAAATCTACTTGTATGTAAAAGCTTTCCTGTGCAAGAGAATAATAATATTTTAGATTAATAGCTGGTTCGGTTTCATTTTAAGCTAATAACCTCACTGGCTTCCTAGAATTGATTGTCTGCCACTTTTTCCAAAGAAAGATGAGCTTTTTTTTTTTTTGTCCTGTATTCCTGAAATGCTCTTGGATGTATTTTGCCAGCTGAAATGAAACCAA